GCTTCATAGAACAAAACGGGAAAATCTTGCTCGGACATACCTTAATTTGCGAATCGTACAAAAAACATGTTGTAAAAAACATTACCTTTGCTACGAAGGATAATAGTGGTAGATTGCTAACTCATTTCCAGGTGTAGGACCCACTCCTGCACTACTGTATTTGGCGAAGTCCCTCCCCTTCCGGTGGACCTCCATGGGACCTTATTTCGGAAAAATTATGTATTGAAGTCAATGGAGAGAGAAAGATTATCTTTCGATCCCGTTTGAATTGTGCCACGAATTACACATATGATGTTTGTAAATTTAAAAGATAATTTTGCAAGTCAAAAAAATAAAGATGTGTCGTAAAACTGTGAAGTAACACATTTGTTTGAAACGCTGAATGAACTACATCTCTGGTCTCGCACAACAACACACGTCACCAAGATGGCCGTCACTACTGTCTTGTCAACAAAAGGATTGACTACCCTCACTATCACCACAATGAAACACATCCAGAAGAATGTCATGCAAAGCTGCCTGCCTGCCTTCCTTTGATTCTCTCTGAATTGCCTGGTCTTTTTAATGTTTAATGTCAACCATTTGTGCAGTACTCTTCAAAGGGTTCACGAAATATGACTACTACTCTTACTGTTTAACATGTTGGGTTACTTAATGTTACTTCATGTTAAGGCTAATAAAAATGACAAGGCTGTAATGCTAACTAACGTGCTAGCTAGGTAGCTAACTTGATCCAGCCACTCCTGGTCCTTTCATCAGACGGGAAGCGAAAGAACGAGCAAGACCCATTGCTGGTATGATAACAACCTGGTACTAAGCACACAGGCATCTTGCTAAAGTTATCTTATCTTAGCCAGCGCCATATAGATAGATTATATATATATATGGTGCTGATCTTAGCTATCTCTTAGTGGAGGAAAACAATTATGACATCACTTACTCTGGGATTTGTAGTCTTTCTAGTTGTGTATTTTTCATAGTCTTATATTTCAACAGTTTTACGACAAACTGTGACTTTTTTTACATGGAAATTATTTTTTAAGATTGACAAACATCATATGTGGCACAATTCAAACGGGATCGAAAGATAATCTTTCTCTCTCCATTGACTTCAATACATAACATTTCCGAAAAAACTCTATAGAGTGGCGAAGTCACGCCCATCTACTTCCGACCCATGGGACCTTATTTCGGAAAAATAATGTATTGAAGTCAATGGAGAGAGAAAACTTATCTTTCGATCCCGTTTGAATTGTGCCATGAATTACACATATGATGTTTGTCAATCTTAAAAAATCATTTCCATGTAAAAAAAGTCACAGTTTGTCGTAAAACTGTTGAAATATAATGAAAAATACGCAACTAGAAAGACTACAAATCCCAGAGTCGCGTAAGTGATGTCACAATTGTTTTCCTCCACTAAAATAGAGATAGCTAAGATAAGATAACTTTAACAAGATGCCTGTGTGCTTAGTACCAGGTTGTTATCATACCAGCAATGGGTCTTGCTCGTTCTTTCGCTTCCCGTCTGATGAAAGGACCAGGAGTGGCTGGATCAAGTTAGCTACCTAGCTAGTAGCTAGCACGTTAGTTAGCATTACAGCCGGCTTAGCCTTGTCATTTTTATTAGCCTTAACATGAAGTAACATGAAGTAACCCAAAATGTTAAACAGTAAGAGTAGTAGTCATATTTCGTGAACCCTTTGAAGTGTACTGTCACACAGTGGCGCCAGCAGGGGGGGCCATGGGGGCCATGGCCACCCTGATATATTTGTTGGCCCCCCAACCACACACACCGCCTCGCCAGTCACGTATGCATAGTAGTTTATCTGATATTTAACAACAAACACACAGCCAGCGAGTCGCTTGATTTGAGCTTCCAACGCTCATACTGCAGCCCCTCCCTCTCCCTCTGCTACTATGGTAACACTCTGATACTCGGCGCACCACTCTGATACTCGCGCGCACCACTCTGATACTAGCGCGCACCACTCTGAGATTCGCACAGAGAGCAGCAGGTTGCAGCAAAACGTTTCTTTCTACTGACTGGACTGGAGTTGACAAAAATCCACCTGACTTCTAGAAGGTAAGTCGTATACGTTCGTTGCCTGTTAAGCCCCACAACACTTTAGGCTTTAGTGTGTTAGCTTTAGGTAGCAACAAACGGAGATATGCTTACCTTTAGCTGTTATGCTGATCAAAAATTGTGTTCAATGGCATTAAAACGAGAAAAACGCTGGAAGACCTGGAAAACAGGCTCGGGGCTCAGTAAAGGCTGGCTTGACTTCAGGTATAATTTGTCTGTAAACACACTTTAACCCTAACCCCTATCCTAGTTAGCGTTAGTTTAGCTTGCTAAGCTAACGTTAGCTTATGTCGGTATGCTGGGCTGGTGTAATGCGTAGGCTACTATTAATCACTGCTGTGTGTAATGTCAATTTGCAGAAGATGAAGAGAAAGTCAACAGACATCTCTTCTTATTGTAAGAAGAAGAAGAGTAAAGGAGAGACAGAGCTGGCAGGGGAGCAGCAGCATAGGGCTAGTAAGGAGATGACCATACATGCTAGAAAGTACATGTGGAACTCTGTTTTGTAAAAGTGAAACTAAAACCTAAGTACTGTTTTATTAATGTGATTGTGACCTTTGTAATCATTTAAGTCTTCTACACACTTTAGGTCTGCAGCTCCTTCAAAATGAAACGAAAATCTATGCAGTTTTTCCTCTTCTGTGTTCTGAGGTTATGAGCCGACCATTAGTCAAGTTTGTTTTCATAATGTTCTGTATGCTAATTTAAAAAAAGGGTAACCAGTTTGTTTATAAAGTATATACATTCCAAAACAAATGGAATACAAGCTATATGTATTGCTCTCACCACAGTGGCCTAATCTAAATAAAAAATAGAAATATGTCTCGTCACCTATTTTCTGTCTAACACTAAAAGGTGGTGTTTTGTGTCATTTATAATGTTTTTAATTTGCTATAAAGGTCAATAATAGATGGTGTTTTTGTGTTCAATCACAGTATGTATTTACCATTTTATACCCCTTGTGTTTTTGGGTCCTGTTGAAATAAAATAGTCATGTTTTAAAACTTGATTTAATAAAGTCATGTCAATCATCTTTGATCCCAGTGTGACACAAACAGCTTTGTTCAGTCTAAAACAATTTATAACCTAGAGACATAATATAACTGAAGAACATGTTGTGTTGCTGTTGTGTATTGTATGTGTTGAGAATGCTGGAAATGTTGTGCCTTACAATAAAGGAACTTGTTTAAATTAAGCTGCATTTGTCTTTTTAAAAGGAAAGAACAACTAGCATATATAAAAAACAAAACAATAAATCACCTAACACATGTATGCATAACACAAAACAAGGTTCTTTTAAATGTTGTTTGAAGTCAAATGTTAACTATCCGTATTATATTCACTTCAGATGAATAGTATCAGAAAATGTAAAATAAGAAACCAAAGTATATCAGTAGGTGATTCTCTTTGCCATTGTTTTCATCTAGTCTATACTTTTACAACAATTACATTCTTGGTTTTGGTGGGCCACCCCAAGATTTTCAGTGGCCCCATTTGGCCACCCCTATGAAACATTTCTGGAGGCGCCACTGCTGTCACACCGGTGTTGATTGATTGATTGAAAAGTTTATTAACAGCTTGTATATTGGGTACAGTACAGTACAGCTCAAAACATATAATTGTTAAGGGGATGCAGACCAGAGAAAGACTTTCGTCTTGTTTACATCAGGGTCCCCCATTTCCAATTCATCATATCATTTAAGACATATAAGACATATTTGACATACAGATGGCTTATTTACAATTTACATACAGGTGGTTTTTTACATACAGATTGCTTATTTACAATTTTCATTGTGATCATTCTATCTATAATACACCATTTAAACCCGGGGGAGAAATGCTAACGCTAATGCTACATTAGCATCGGCGATCTTTTCGATTTCATGCTATCTGCACAAATGGTTGACATTAAAAAGATCAGGCAGTTCCGAGAGAATCAAAGGAAGGCAGGCAAGCAGCTTTGCATGACATTTTTCTGGACGTGTTTCATTGTGGTGATAGTGAGGGTAGTCAATCGTTTTGTTGACAAGACAGTGACGGCCATCTTGGTGACGTGTGTTGTTGTGCAAGAGATGTAGTTCATTGGGAGTTTCACACAACAAAAAGTGTTACTTCACAGTTTTACGACACATTTTTTTTTTTTTGACTTGCAAAATTATCTTTTAAATTGACAAACATCATATGTGTAATTCGTGGCACAATTCAAACGGGATCGAAAGATAATCTTTCTCTCTTCATTGACTTCAATACATACTTTTTCCGAAATAAGGTCCCATGGAGGTCCACCGGAAGGGGAGGGACTTCGCCACTCTTTTATCCATGTATTTTTTTTCTTTTAATGTTTATTTTATTAGCTTTTCTTTTTAATGACTGATTTTAAATGCCATTTTCTTAATCTCTTTCATTTTTTGTAAAGCACTTTGAATTGCCTTGTGTTGAAAAGTGCTATATAAATAAACTTGCCTTGCCTTGCCTTGCCTTACACTAGAAATAGAGAGGTTGTATGACAATGATGCAAAATAATATATGAAAGCATCCAGAAAAATAATTACTAGATGACAACATTATTCAGCTTTGACTTTATAGGAAGGTGAAGGTCAGCTGTATATCTGGGTTTTCTATTATATAAAGAGCTTTTAGTCAGGGTAACTCAAAATGAAGGCAGCTCTGATCAAGGTTTTCTGTAACTGTCCAACTCTGTTAATGTTTTATTTTCCATGAACCAGTCTTTAAACACTGCCAGAGCCCATACTGTGTTCCTGTTAGTGTTTACTTCCTGTCTGTCTTCTTCTACTGTTCCCTTTAGTGTTTACTTTACTAGGGCTGCAACTCAAAATCACTAGTTGACCTAACTATGATATATTTTTTGTAATACAATAACTAAAGTGTTGTTTCTGTCCTGTTTCCTCAGGTGCTGTGTATGATCACAGCTCCAGTCACCATGATCCTGTCCTCTCAGCAGGACGCCTCCTTCGCCTTTGCCTCCTTGGCCATCGTGTTCTCGGTCTACATCACCCTGGTGGTCCTGTTTGTCCCCAAGGTAAAGTCACTTTCACTATGGGAGGGGGTTTTAATCTTCTCTTGACCAGTTTGATTATAAGATATTTTACAAAGTGAGAATGAATGAACGAAGGTGGTCGCCTTAACACGCCCCTTTATGACAGTTTAACTTGTGATTGGGACAACGTGGACATGACTGTGCTGCTATAGAGTATCCATCACTGGGGCAGTCTTCACCACATGTTTAACCTGAGCCTGCAGAGATTTGCAGAAAAGCAGTAATGAGGTCCAACACTGATGATTGGGGGTGACACCTGATTCGCTGATAGCGTACGATGGTCATAGCAGATTAAACCGACAAGATACAATGTTTACATTTATTTTTATTATTATTATTTTAGACAAAGTCGGGCTAGCTGTTTCCCCCTGCTTCCAGTCTTTTTGCTAAGATTACCCAATCTCTAATTCTGTTCTTAAGTGGTCAGCTTGTGCTTTGCACACTGAGGCCCCTGGCGTTCAGCTCACTTCAGAAATCTTGGGCCACGCACTGTAAGTGTCCTGAGGCGCAGGTATGTCAGTCAGCACACCGCTGGTTTGGATAAACAGACAGGAGTTACGGCATGGAGGCAAAGTAGTGTATTGGGTTAGGGTTAGAGTGTCACGGAGTGAGTAGGTGGGCAGAACCCAAATGCAGTACAAAACTTGGAGGCAGGTATAAATAACAAAATCAAGCTTTTTCTAAATATAGCTGTTAAAAAAAGACATGTAACCATGGGGAGCAGACAAGTTGAAACATAATGTAAGGAAACAGCAAAACAAAATGAAGAAGAAACCGGGGAACACGGGTAGCAAACTCAGGAGGGAAATAGAGGATCAGACAGAGACAGGAAACCAGGAACAATGACACACCGAACCACACCAGGGGAACATAGAGGGAAAACTGACAGAACACAGGACTAATCACACTGAGGAGACACAGCTGGAGAGGGAAGGCAAAAACCCAGGGCAGCAGGTGATGGGGGGGAAAGGATCATCAGGTCGGACAGACATTAGCAAGGGGGGGCGGGGGGGGGGGGGGGGGAAGACTGGAAGTAAAACAAGACAGGGGAGAAAATAAATGTCAAAATAATAACAGCAAACATGAAACACCTAAAGAAAGATCATGACGCTGTTGCACATTAAAGCTTTGGAAGTTCACAAGTGGGGTGTTTACTGAATTATTTTATATTGTAGAACAAAACATAAAAATCTCTTCAGCTTCAACAGACCCTATTTCAGGCTACTTACCAAAACTTCGAGATGAGGGAGCCGAAAGTAGTAAAAGCTAAGTCTGCTGCCCCCGGCTACAGAAGTGCAATGCCCATTGGCTTCTATGCTGTTACTCCTGCCTGCCAACCACCATCTAGGTAATACACTGAAGTGCCTCATGCGACCCCCCCCCCCCCCTTCAAACAATCTGAAATCTCTTTTCAAAGAGCCTGGCCCAAACCATTTAAAAACAGCTGCATCAGCAAACTATATAAAAGTGTGTGAGGCCAGGAGTTCCCATACACTGCTGGCCTTATAGATGACTGGTCGATCCTTGGCAGGCACTCCTTGCTTTGACTTTGACATCTCACTTACTGACAACTTAGTTGTGCTAACACATCTTCTAAATGACCATATAGCATAACCTACAAGGCACACATACTAAACATTTTTCAAATCATAATGAATGGAATTGAATGTCCAAACAGCACCCTGAAGGGTATCAATAAAACACATCAGAAATGCCTTGCTCAGCACACATATATAGTACCTGCAAGAAATACAAGCTAAGTTCAGGAAAGTTGTCTAATAAACATAAATCAGAGATGGTCAACTCCTACTGCTAAACTGTTTACAGGACAGGCTGATAAATCAGTGTCAACAGTGACGCAGCAGTAATTAAAAAATGAACTGATTTAACACTTCTCTGTGTAGTGGAGCAGGCACGACTCTTATTCTCTGTGGAAGTCAACTGTACATTCAAGGTACTCTCAAGGGAAGTGTAATATCACCCCACATATTACTATTCAATATAAAAACAAAAAAATGTCAGGGTCCAGTTACAATAACCACAGACATTACATGTAATCTGGTCCCAAAATCTAAATTAAGTATATCCTCATTAAAGCTCTACAGTGAACAGTTGCCTCCTTCACTTACACATATCTAGTTGGCCTTTAGTTCTTCTTTTTTTAAATAATTGTAGCTTTTACTTCTCCCCTTTATCTCCTCTTCCTAAGAACAGGCAAACAGCCTTGGGAGAGCTGTTTCCCCCGGTATGATAAGGCAGTCCCCCTCGTTCACAGCTGTGTCCAGATGTGGCCCTGATAGCTCACTCTGCTTGTCATATACAATCTTCTCTTCAGATAATAACAGGAAAAACTGACACACAGGGTCAGAGAGCAGGAGGGACATCTGGGAGTCCATCTTATCAGGTGGATGGGACAGAACTTACGATATTGTTTTGTAGAATGTCATTTATTTTCTTAGGATGAGTTAATATGGAGTAAAAGGCAAGAGAAGTTCAGAGTTGGTTTGGCAGAGGCTGTGTCTCTCCGGTGTTGTCCTTGTGTGCCAGTTATTTGCCCCAAGAATATTATCACAGTAAGGAAAACATGTGCATGGTTTGCAGATGCGGCGTCTGATCACGCGGGGGGAGTGGCAGTCAGACGGTCAGGAGACCATTAAGACCGGCTCGTCCACCAACAACAATGACGAGGAGAAGTCCAGACAGCTGGAGAGAGAGAACAAGGAGCTCCAGAAGATCATCCAGGAGGTCAGACAGCCATCTATTGTCCATCTTCATCATATTCACAATGTAAAAGTATAAGTAAAAAATGTAGATATTGGTTTATTGAGTTTGCAAATTTAGGTTTTGAAAGTACAACAACACAAATGACATTTGTCCCTCAGCCTTCCACAGGGAACAGAGATGTTTCAATTGTCCTCAAATCATTTGATACTGTACTTATTGACATATGAGGACAGGATTGAGGCATCTCTATTACTTTTCTGGTTTCTTCAAACAAGCCAAAGTATGAGGCTAAAAACTCAGGACTTTGAGTAGCACACATAAACATTTCATTACCTTACTATTAACATGTACTCAAATTGTACATATTCTCAACACCATATCTAAACTAAATCAGAACTATCGTTAGGGTTAGATCCTGCTAGATGGATGTGAGCAAATGTTTTTGGTAATGAAAGCCGTAAATGCCATGTTCAGTGAACCGGTCTAAAACAAGCCTGGGACTTTGATCATCCCTGTTTTCTTATCTTTCCAAATAACTCCTGTCAACGATCTAATGTATTACAAAATGAGCATAGCATGAAATAGAAGACTTGTCCTAAGAGATGACTTCGTAGTCACTGTGCCCCTCTGTCCCCTCAGAAAGAAGAGCGTGTCTCTGAGCTGAGGAACCAGCTGACTGAGCGACAGGCCCTGCGCTCCAGGAGAAGAGCTTCCTCTGTCACCTATCAGAACCACAGCTCTCCGGCCCTCGCCATTCACCAGAGCGACCCAAGGTCCTTAGCCCCTCCTCCAGGGTACCCCATCCCCATCTCTGACCTCCATCCCATCCCTTCGTCCTTCGGAAACTCGTCCAGCCTCTACCAGCCAGACAGCAAAATCACCCGAAATAACTGCCACGCCAGCCAGCTGCAGCTGCTGTACAAGTGAGGGGGGGAAGGGACATTGGAGGGATGAGGACAGTAAGGACATTCATAGTTACATGGAGATAGATAAAATGGTGCACGAAGAACAGATACAAAAAAATCTGTATATCTGTTGGAGGGGCTGAATCCATTCCACCAATCAGCCGAGGCCGGAGGATCACCAGTTTTCGTGATCAATATTAAAAAAGTATATATATCATAAAACAAAATGTACATACCGTCTTTTGAATCTTATCTGCCAGTGATGTTTAATGTGCCATCTAGAGTTTAAGAAAAACTTGAAATTAAACTTTGTGAAGCCCTGAACCCCTTGGCTATACTAACTGTCAAACTTTCCATTGATACACTGCACATGAAGAAGTTTACAATGATGGCAGATTTAACGATCTGAATTTCGGTCATCATTTAAACAAAATTATTACATTAATGAATACGAAAGCATCTTGGCATTTGTGGCAGCTGTTGATTATGTTGGCTGAAATCCCAACTGTAAAATGGATTTACTTTATTTTGATGCTAATCAGATCCATTAATCTGTTGGAATTGAAAAGTGACTCTTAAAATGAGAACCCTTTGGTATTGACATGATGGATGCATGCATGATATTGAATTTAGTCTGAGACTAAATCTACATATTCCTGGGAAATTGTGAGTTGATGAAAAACACATGGTAATGAAGAGCAGAATTGTTCTTGATCTCCAAGTTAGCTAGTTAGCCAGGTCTGTAAGAGTGTGATAATGAAAAGTTAACATCATTATTTTAGATTATTTTAATATATTGTTCATATTTTTGAAAAATTATGTTTTACTTTTACAAATAAAAAGGCTTTGAGGATGAAAACAACCACTGACTTTGACAAAGTAAGATTGAGAATAAACCTGAAGTGTAAACCTCCTCAAATCCAGTGAAGAGCACATGGTAGCTGCTAAGATTAGCATAAACTCTCATAGTTGCATCTAGGCCTAGCTCTTACAAACAGGAAGTCCTTGGACAGAACAGGACTTTTAATGTAAGTTTTTAAGCCTCAAAACAATGATGTTAACAAATAACTCTTGGCCTTGGACGTTATGCTAGGTTACATCTGAATGCAGTAAGCTAGTTAGCCAAACCTTGCACTTTGCAAACATGCTAGCTCTTATATGTTACTTACAGTGTCGTTAGTATTGCCATATGTACAGTTTGTTTCTTGTTACTGTTTTGTATAGGGTGTTTTTTGTTACTTTTATGTACAGTTCATTCCTCCCATGTTTTTCTTTGTTTTTATTATGAATCAGATTTACTCTCTGTGAACGATAAACCTTATTGTTACGATTCATGCTACATAAACATGTGTTTATTGGGCTGTATTAAAGGGATTGAAGTGTGAAGGGTTTTGAATTGGTGTTTTATGAGGTACTTATCCAAAGTCAGTGTATACAGTAGATGGCCGCACCCCAGAAGCAGACAGGGGTACTGGGACAGCAGCAAAGCAAAGCACCCTACTGCTGTGGGCGGGGGCATACAGCCTCATTTTAAAATGGCCTACCTTAAAACAATATTACTATGACCTTGCCATGAGAAAAACCTTTTTCAAACTCAATGGGCAAAAAAGCTTAATTTGTTTTACTGTGTGCTGTCTGCAAGGTATAGGGTTAAAACTATTCTGAATATAAATGTTGCCTAAACTGATATGGATATTTTTTGTGTGGGCCCTAACTATTTAGTTCACTAATGCCCCCTACCACAGCAGTAGCTTGGTTAGCTGCTGTGCCCACATCTGGTTTATCCAAACTACCCTCTGCTCTAGGTGACACACTGTCTATGGATAAGTACCTCATACAACAACACTTCACATCCAAACTATTCCTTTAAAATAGATATTTAAGAACCAAGTGTTTAGGAGGGTTGTGTCTTTAAACCCTTATTCCAAAAACAAACAAGCTGAGCAATTGAATACACAGTGCGTGTGTGTAGTTTTAGCCTCAGACTTTTAACATAGTGCATGCATGTTGAAGATCCCTTTAAACATTGCTCTTATTTAAAAAGGGTTAGCTAGAAAATTGTCATCAGTGTTTTAGTGGTTGTTAGCTGAATATGGCTGACACAATCTGCAAGCGTCAGTTTTCTTTCAGTTGACAAGATAGATGGCCCTGACTAGAAATGAGAGCAATTGGGGCAAAGCAGTGTTCATAGCTGTACCTTACAATATTGCCTCCATATGTGTTGGATAGTGCTATGTACTGTATTAAGAGGTTGTGAAAAAGGGCAGACTCCAAGATGAAACGTTCTGATGTTTCGTAACAGTGGTTGTATCCAAAACATAATATATTTTTGGTCATTTTAGCTCTTTTTGTTAAATGTTTGATGTAGGTTTTTTTAGATTGTTAATAGTCTCTGTTCAAAGAGACTTGTGATTCATTGTACATACTTGTGTGTTTTCATGCTTAACCCCTCACTGTGGATGAACTGAATCCTGTTGATTCAGAGCTCAGAAGAAAAGTATGCTGTCATCTGTCAGATATTTATTTATTGCAAAAAGAGTGACTGCCACTCTCGAAAGTTGAAGGAGCATTACATGAGGCTAAAACATTTGTTTCTCTCCAAGAGCTTAATTGTTTTCTTTTTTAAATGAATGCAAGTTTTGATATTTGAATAGTTTGCTATATTTATCCAACAGATATGGGTTGAACAGAAGGTTCAAGATCAGATCTTTTAGGGACTGAGGCATAGTATTGGGACTGAGGCATAGTTTTAACCAATAGTTTGAAAACGAGAGCGTACGTTTTAAATATCATCAGCATAAAGGAGTACATTTGATTGTTCAACTTCTTTATTGGTGATTCTATCCCACTTGAACGTAAGATTGCCAAATTCAGCATTTCTGTTTGTGTTCACTCTTCTGCTTTTTTGGTCTCACTTCCACAAACAGATTTTTGTGGGGATTTGTGGACAAAGAGAAAGACTCCCTGACAAAGTTTCCATGATAGGTTTTCATTCCAGAAAGTAAAAGTACAGCACATGCTGACTGCCTCATAATAACTTAACGCAACAACACACAAAACAATGATGAACATAAATAAACATAAGGACAAAATATGTTTATTTATGCCTTCCAAAACTGTAACAAGCACTATTTTAACAAAGATCGATAAAGAGATCATAGGGGCGTTTTCTGATAAGCCACCTCTGGGTAAGGTTTGCTTATATTCAGGATCCGGCTAGGGATTGGTAAAAATGATGGTCATCATTTCAATAAACTGTCAGTAGTCAAAGCTGCACCACCTTAGTGACATTTTCAACATCATCTTCGGTGAATAGACTTAGCTATGGTTGTCATAAAAAAGACAACTTTGCCAAACTTCTGTTTCAAAGTTCAGGAATGAACTATCATGCTCAATTTTGAGAGACAGTATTGGTAGCATAATGACTCATTGCGGGTTCGGTGTTATGTTATCCCTGCCTCTCTTTGTAACAGATCGTTATTTTATTGAGGGTCCGGCTTTGGCTTTTATGTTCATTACCTTTTTCACCGTCTTAACCTCTCATGTCAAATATGTTGTGCGATTTTTGCCTGAGGTATAGAGTTTGTCTTGCCTTCCATTTGGGTCTCTTGTTCTCTCGGTGTGATAGCATAGCTTGCTTTATAGCGTGGGTTGTTGTAAGCACTTCTGAACTGACTAATAACTACAGTATTAGGCGCAGATGTATGAACCGGTACATCCTTTCAAAGTGTAAATATCTACTGTGTGTGTGTGTCTGTAACAACGTATTTTTACTGTTTGTAAAGCAGTGAAGATGTAAGTGATGTTGGTAACACATGACAATATGCACACTGACTGTAAATAATGACATTGTAAATAATAATGAAGTTTGACTTGAGCAAATACAAACTGTACAGTTGATGTGGTACAGTACTCAAAATATATTTCTATATGCTGTAATATCTGATGTCAGAGATTATTTGGAATGCAAGAATACAAAATAAAACTAGTTGTTTTTCCTAAACTATAGATGAGGTTGTAGCCAGATGAGCAGGGCAGTCAGTAGTTACACATCTGTACGGACAGAAATAACTCAACTGTTGGATACATTGGGATGAAGGTGGTGCACACATTAGTGTCCTAAGAGGATGACTACCCTGACTCTAAAGTGGTGCAGAGATGTTGTTGGCCAACCTGAAAGTCAGCATCGAAGAGGCGCCCTCGACAGAAAGGGGGGGGGGGGGGTTCTATTAGATTTTGGTTTATTGCAGAAAATAAGCTCTGTGGCAAACACACATTTATTATGATAGCTTCACATTTTGTCCAGCATGATAATCTCCACATATTAACGCAACTTTGTGCAAACACAAACGCCAGAAGTAAAAACCTAATGTTAGGCTATAAACAACGACATCAGGGAATGTCTGCACTAACGCTAGGCTAAAAACAGATTTGTGTTAGCGTGATGATGTATTTTATGTCGCAAAACAAAACATGAAAATATTTTGCTTGTTTGAACCACAGATTGTTTCAGGCTTCTAATCAAAAACATTGTCTTCAAGAGGAGAGAATATGCTACATCATTTCCGGGTTTTAGGACTCATTCCTGCGTCTCTCTATTCATCTAGCTCAGCGACGTGAAGTCAGGGGACGCCACACCTGTCATGCTTCAATTAAAAAGCTCTTGCGAAAAAAAAAAAGACTTTACAGATTAACAAACAGAGATGACAGTGTTAACAGATTAATATAATTACACGAAAATAATGAAAAAACACAAGATAGAATGTGAAATACAAATAAAACAGATACAAATTGAACTAAAGAGAGTATGAGTTTGAAACTACATTCAGCTAGAAAATGTGAATCTTGTACGTAAGTTACCTGTAGGCCTATGTGTGTTGTAAAGATGTTTACATCAGAAAGGCCAGGAGTATGCATATTCATTAGAAGAAAGGTTCTTACTGAATGGTTGAAAATTCATGTGAATAGATAACACAAGCTGAACAACTCAGAGCAGAACAACAAGTAAGAATGTGCAACCCATGATAAGGTATCACACAAATGGAGGGAGTGCACAAGGAGTCACCTTCTTGTGTCTAATGATTGATCTAATGTGTGATAATGTGTTTTTTATGATCTTGTTCAAATCGGTTGACTTGACAATCTGTGTATCTACCGTCCATTTGTTTTTCTTTATTAAACAAGTAAACGGAAGAGCGTCTGAGAGGCCTTTTTGCTTTTTACCTTACTAAATGGTCTAATCATGGTTATTGGAGCGAGGGGCGGGGCGAAACTCACGGAAGTGATTTCAAAACAAAAGCACTCGTTCGCTTGGAACTGTGATAATATTGTATCGACCCAGTATAGGGTGCTGTGTGGGTCACTCAAGCATCCCTGTCTCTCTGCCAATCCCAGAGCTGCACAGTAATGCTGGTCGGTGTGCAGGCCTGTGGTTGGGGGAGCAGAGGGGGGAGGGCTGGAGAATGGTGACGTTGACCCTGCTGTGTGTGTGAGTTAGGGAGTGGAGTACTGAGTGATGTTGAACCTGCGACCTATAACCTGTGACCTATGAACTTATATCTGTATGCTATCAAAGGAGTTATTACACCTAATAACTTGAGGCCTGTTTCCGACCCCTATTGTGGAACGTTACAATATTATAAACAAGGTGAATTTAGCGATCACAACGAAAACAGCCAAGACACATTTTGAGCCCAGAAAACTTTCTGTTATGTTATTAAGGGCTGTAAATAGAATAAGCCTGTGTCTAAAATGGACATCATTGTTAGGAGATTTAAACTATACAGCGGTTCTGCACTGCGGTCACTCAGCCGTCTCTCGAGTTTGTTTTTTCAAATCAGCTGCTCTTCATTTTTTTTCCTGCTATATTCAATGAGTGATACAAATATTCTTTACCACAAGTTCTTAAGAAAACTGACACTCTTGGACTCTGTACTAGTTTGACTCCAACCAGAAATAAAATGAAGTACTTTTACTGTGTGAGTAATACTCGGTCAATGTCCCCTCCTGAGTACAAGAATGCATGTTTTTTTTTAATAAGCATTAACAAAAAACTTTTTTTGAGTATTTTAAGCAGCAGCAGCATTTTTAGACCTTAGAAAGTCTTTAGAGTCTGGCCTGGATAGCTGCTATCCTTCAGCAAAGTGACACACTCTGTCATTCTGGTTGGCCTCTTATGATGCTGCTGTCTTTTAATATATAACTATTCCTCAGCCGTTAGTTCGTATCTCGCAGATTCTTCAGTCTCATCAGCCTCATCCTTCCATCAGTCCCAGTCAACGCCTCCAGCACACTTCCTGTGTCTGACTCCATATGATATTGTCCTGATGCTGTAAGGGTGATGCCCCATGATCACAAAAGGTCCCCTCTAGAGCAAGCATGGGCAAACTAAGGCCCGCGGGCCATATACGGCACGTTGGGCTTTTTAATCCGGCGCGCCGAATATTGGTACAAAATTGTCCAAATTATAGTAAAGACCACATTCATTTTGCCTTTTTCCTGCAATACCCGGCATTTCAGTTGATCCCACTAGATGGCGCACTCTAGACACAATTGACCTTTGCGGAGTCTGGTCTATTCTCTCTTAAGGCACGGACACACCAGGCCGATTATCGGCGTCGGTGGGCGTCAGGCCGACGATGAGCGTCGACACGCCCTACTCAGATTGGTGTGTCCCGCACCGTCGAATGAACGAGAAGCTCATGGGGCTTTCCCGAACCTGTGTCGAGAGCTGGAGTTAAATGAAATCTCAGATTTGCCTTCTTAATAGTTTGTTTGGGTCCCTCACTTCCGTTTAGCTTCTCATGCACTGATTCGCTCGCTGAACAGCCAATCAGAGTGATTTCTTTTGCCGATGGCCTTTGGCCGACTGCCCGCCGATTCAACATGTTTTCGGCCGAAAAGGCGTCGGCCCGGCTGAAAAGACCTGACGGTGCGGGACAAACCAATCTGAGTAGGGCGTGTCGACGCTCACCGTCGGCCTGACGCCCACCGACGCCGATAATCGGGCTGGTGTGTCCATGCCTTTAGCTGGCCCCACTCGGGAAACCCGGCAAGATCTAAGAACCAAATACGTCACGCTTACATTGGAGGGGGTCGAGATTAACCTGAGCAATAACAGTTCATGGCGAGTACAGCGAATACAAGTTGTAACAAGCAGTAGCACTGAGCAAAGTGACTAGAACGCGACCACACACTTATATAAAGTCAGGCAACACTAACCAGGCTTAGTGTGATTCTGTTTATTTTACCTTACTTTAATGACCATCCGTTCACTGTTATTGACCATTGTGAAGAGGCAGACGTTTTCCTGTTTACGCCAGTAAAATATGCGTATAGAAAACGGCTTATGCCACAATGTGATAGCAACAAGTAGTCAAGACAGTTTGATTAGCTTTGGTTGCTATGCTAATGTAACCCAAATGTCCCGTAGCCTCTCTGAACACCTTGGAACTCTGCGTTGTGTTTGTTATTGGTGATGGGATGTTATGCAGAGGGGCGGAAAACAGGACACAGTAGATCGGATTGCGGTGGAGACGCTGAGTAGTGATGTATTCTTCACAATGGCAGCTCTTTTGACACACCTTTCGTGGAGTGAATACAAACATTTGCGCATTAGCTACATGCTAACCAATACAATAACCAAATGAACAGACAAAACATAAACATTTAAACGAACCCATTAATTAAATAAATGGAATGTTTGGACGTTTTTAACGTAATAATGTGTACAATTATTTGCCGCCATTAACACTGCTCACCTTTCGTGGAGTGAATACAAACATTAGCGCCAAGATGGCGGCCGCACCCAGAACAACAGGAGAAATACGGTGTCCCACAATGGACAAAAAACAACAATTTGCTGCACAACAGCAACACCTAGTGGCCTGTCAAGGCTGCTACCTTACATCTACCCCTTCTTTAATTGATGGCGTCCCAGCCATCAGGCTAAACAAAATACAACAAAGGCCATGTAGCACAAACAATTTAAACAGTTAAAGAGAAACAACTAACCTTTCTGTATGTATGACTGTCTTATAAAATGTGTGCGTGTTATACATTTTAACAGTCAGAATGTTGTGGCTTGATTGTGTCACCCCTGTCTTGCTTCTCTACTTGCTGTGGCCCTTTGCCACAACTTCCATCCCCTTTCTCTCCTCCTCTGGTCCTCTTCCGAACTCAGAACTTGTGACTCACATGACTGTCTCTTCGGGGCACACCGATTTCTTGGTGGGTTTCTCCTAGGAGCCTTGTCAGGTGATTTGGTGTCACTCACAGTCGTACTTTCCTCATCTCCTTCATCCATTTGTCCTTCATCCACATCCACTTCCTCCATTTGTTTGGGCTCATCGTGTACCACTGGTGTCCCAGGTCCCACATTCTCCTCAACTTCCTCTCCTATCACTTCACTGGCTCGTTCCACTGGAAGAAACATACACTGTGTGAGGAGGTTGCGGTGCACCACCCTCTCTCTCTTGCTGTCCTCTAATCGTATCACATATACAGGTGTGTTGAGTTGTTTCTTCACCACAATGTATGGACGTGCCTCCCATCTGTCTCCCAGTTTCTGCCGTCCCTCCACATGACATACTTTGACAATGACTCTATCTCCCGGTATGAAGACTTGACCCTTTGCTTTTCTGTCATAGTGCTTTTTCTATTGAGCCTTAGCATGCCGAGAGGTTTGATTAGCCTGTGCATATGCCTGTGACAGACTGTCATACAGCATTTGGACATAATCACTGTATCCACGTGGCTCACTTGCGGTGGAAAGCCCAACAATCAGGTCCACTGGGAGCCTAGGATGTCTCCCAAACATCAGGTAGTATGGTGTGTAACCCGTTGAATCGTGCTGTGTGCAGTTATAGGCATGTGTCATTGCGTCAAGATGCTCATGCCAGCGGGGTTTCAAGTGTGGCTCCAAGGTCCCCAGCATGTTC